AATTCATTCAAAGCTTTAGTGTTTTGCAGAGCACATGGCTCCATATTCACACAGTGTGAGGTGGAACAGCTACGGCTGAAATCCTATCCACATGCAGGGCCTATCCTCCGCTCTGTCACTGAAGCAGCAGTCAGAATAATTATAACTCTGGTGCAGGGGGGGCACAAGGGTGTGTGTGTGTGTGAGTGTGTGTGGGGGAGAGAGAGAGAAATGTGAAGACTGGGTATATCTTTGCACATGGTTGATATAGTGTGTTTACAGCATGAGAGGAGAATGAAGTGCTAAGAAGAAAGAATAATGCATCAATTAGGAGAGTTATCGGGATACTTTAATGACAGTTAGATATCTTTGGATATGAAGTATATTGAAAAAGAATTAGTTTTACCTTTTTTATTTTGAGCTTACAAAATAACCTTTTCAAAACTATGTCTCTAATCTTATTACATTCTTTCTCACAGAATTTATATTCACTTTCACTCTGGGACTTCGGAGCACAAGCAAACATTTAAGCATTTCTCTTGGAATTAAATGTGTACTTTGACTAGACCTTTTCAAAACCATTCTGCATGCCTGGGTTCTTTATATCACCGTTCTGCTGGATAATCCAGGCGCACTTGAAGACTCATTCATGGTTTTTACACTATCACCACAATCCATAATGACGGGGATGGAATACTGTGTTACTTATGCCTCAGATGTCTTGAAGACAGACACCTTCCAAGGAGTCCAGCTAATCTTCCATCAGCCAATGAATTAATATCTCACAGGTCTTTTTAATGGTCAAGATACTTTTGGTTAATATAAATAGAAGGTTTGTTTTCTTTTGTCTTTGTGTCTGCTAATTGTTAAAATTCAATCATAAAGGGAAGTCAATGTTCTGCGGTTCTTATAAGAACAAATTTAGCTCCAGGATGTGCTGTCAGTGGACTCCTGTAGTCATTTTTGGTAGCCATCTGCTCTAAGAAGGGTTGATTGATTATTATTATTTTTTCATTCTTGGACTTCTATTATTATACCGCTTTTTAACCAGGGAGGAAAATTGATACCCAAAACCTCTTGTAGAAGGAAAACCTGTCCAAAAAAATGACCAGAAATACATAATACATCAATAACACATGACAGAGTAAAATGACTTTGTAACCATTTTTAAAGTGATAGATAATAGGTGACTCATTCTCATCTATCCTTTGCCTTCCTGTTACTCAAGGTGTGATCTATTGCTTTTTTTATTTCATTTTATTTATAATTTTAGAGACCTGTCAGTAATGAGGCCTAGAAGTGGCTTGTAAAAGTGAGCTAAACAAGGGAAGAGAACATATTGCCAGGCTACCTTAGTCTGATATTACAATAATAGGTTTGCTGTTACTGTGTGTGGGAGAAGAAAGAGGTGATCAAATTTTCAAGTATTGTTGAATGAGAGCTAAATGGGCGAGGTCTCCTTTGGACCACTGTGGGGATTAGGGAATGCGTGTTTGTGTGTGGGGGGAGCTTTGAAAGGCTGAGCTACTTTTATGCACTTGTTGTGAGCCATTCTGAACCCGAGGGCCAGCAAAACGCCTAAAATGTAAAGGGGCTGGCAGTTGTCTGCGAAGGGGGCACGGCCAAAGGGAGGCTGGGGGGGAGGGAGGTCAGAGGGGCCACATTGGGGGAGGAAGAGAGCGAGGCAGTCTGTGGAGAAGGAAGCTGGATCAGTGCAGCAGGTGGCAGAGAGCATGGGTTCAGGTCGCCAGCAGCAGAGACCTGACGATTTAAGCCGCTTTAAGCAGGACGATCGGAGAGAGGATTCAGGGATTGCTCAGTGATTTCTCTTAATGCATGTTCAGATATTAACCATACTGTTCATATTCTCACAGATTCAACCTGGTAAATATGTTTCAGGAGGAAGTCTGGAGAGCCTGAAGCTGGAGAATGCCACGAGAGTAAGAATAGAAAGTCCATAGCAGTCCCCTTGCTGTACCAGAGTGTCCTACCTCTTACAGTAGCAACAGTGGACTCTACTGTTCTTTTTTAAACTTTAATCCCATCTAGCCTGTATTTTTTTTTTTCAGCAGAGGAACAGGACATGGTTGGCAAAGAAATCTTCACAAGTATCTGCCTCCAATATCTGCTTTTGTTTTATGAATTTAGATCAAGAAGCTTTGGAGTTTAACCATATAGATAGTAAAAGTTTTTAATGAGCACAGGACAACTGGTGAAGAATCTGATCTGTAGCTGTAAATTGGTTAAACTAATTCACCACCCCTGTGATTATTTTATTTCCTCCTCAATGCCCTTACTTTATAAATAAAAGCCTGTTATTTGAGAGGTTTAAGCCAGACGAGCCTTATCGCAGATCCTCAGAGGCTGTTATGGATGCATGGAGCAGGAATATATGAAAGGAAGAGTAGCACCTGGGGCTGAAGGGAGGATGGTGAAGCCAATCGGATCTAATAGATCATATTTCCCTGATTTTAGGTTCTTAAACAATATACAGTGCTTTGCAAAAGTATACTAACATTTTTTTCACATTACAAAGGCATGTTGCAGTGAATTTTTTGGAGGTAGGCAGACACAAAATAGTGCATAATGGTGAGAAAGAGGCAAAAGGATCCAGGAAGGATTCTAATAAGTGTGGCTTGCTTTTGTTTTAACTTTTTGACATACCCAGCTTGACTTAGGCTTTGACTAAAGCTTATTCTACCACATGAATAAGCTGTGATCTAAGCCACCTTGTTGTAGTTAAGGTCGCTGTCCAACTGGAAGGGGGAATCTCTGCTTTTATCTAAAGACTATGTAGGCCTCTAACAGGTTTACATCCGGAAATGCTCGACTTTATTTTCAGATCAACTCTCAGCATGTACACAGCATAATGCTGCCACCAACATGCATCGCTGTGGGGATGGTTTGTTCAAGAGGATGTTCAGAGGAAGTTTTCTTCCATTTGAATTTGCTTGCAGATCTGACAGAGTGCTATGCTAGCGTTGACCTGTTACCCCTATATGAATTGCAAACAAATGGAACATCCTATGGCAATGTCACTCCTCCATAAAACACAGTTCAAATGAAATAAGAACTATTGCTTTGTGACAAACAAATGTAATTTTAACATGTAAAAATGTACTAAAAATAAACACAAATCCTTCTTTTCCACACTTACACTGCATTTGTTTACCACATAATACACAAATAAAGTAGAGCAAAGCTTCTGGATGTATCATAAGGAAAAGTGAAAAACCTGAAAATATGAATGCCGTATGGGAAAACATTTTGCATCAACAAAAAATGTTGGTCCTGATCCAGATGGGACAACATCCAAACTCTATTTGCAGGGAGTCTCCCAGATCTGTTAACACAGTCTGCTCAGAGCTGTCACTGCCATAAGGTTGTGCTTTGACATGATGTAAAGTATATGAACACCACCGCTTAAAGCCACCAGTCAGCAGACAAAGGCTAAAGCTCAGTACATGAGGAAAGTGGCGCTACCTGGTGGGATCCTGAAAAACTCCACATCCTGCTCTTTGTTTTGTGAGATTTTTTGTTTTATGGAAAAGTATAGGAAGTATAGTTTACCTGATAAGGAGCAGATTGTTGGATTTTTGCTCTTCTGAAAACATTGGGTCAAAAACAAAAAAGAAAATCCATATATCAAAACAAACAAAATTAAACAATAAACTATGAATTTCACTTTATTCACCTTACAAATAATATTTTATAAAATATGGGCATAATTTAGATATTTATACAATTTTATATTAAAACCTTTAAAAAAAATGAACACATTTGTACTTTCTGACAGGCATTCAATCTACAAACATCATCAGGCCAAGCCTTTACTTTACCCAAGGTCAGTTAAACTCAACTTTCTTTACCTTCTATTTTTATACCTTCACTAAAAACAAAAAAATAAGATCAGAGATCAAGCTGAAATACAAATAAAAATACTAAAATGAGACCACTTTGCCACAAAGACAGAACAGTGTAGTCCAAATCACACTTGAGGTGAAATAAGAACCAGGAAGTTTGTAATAAAAAAAACAGGTACTTAACCAAGAGTCTACTGCCATACAGTCTATAAGCTGCATAAATTATTAAATATTCCATGATTCTATGTTAACAGAACCCCAAACGTACAAAGGTCCTAATGAAAGATCCATGTCCAATCTATTTTATGAGTCCAAGCAAATTGTTGAAATAGTTTTAAACTAAAAAATGTTTTAATCACATTAGATGTTCCCTTAATATTATAGAATGCTTAGGGGAACAATCTTTTTTGAGCATCTATGACGCCTCTAAACTAGGGGCACCCTGGGAGGAAGCCAAGCCCCTCCTATATTAACAGAAACTGATCCGTTCATCTACGTTCTGAAGGGGATTATTTATTGGGAGAGATATATACAACTACTGTCTGATTAGCAAAGGAAAAGCTTGAGTGGGACGACTCTGAGGCACAGAGACTCTGATTCTACCAGATCTGGTTCGTAGACGACAGTTTAAACGAAAGAGAAAACATAACATTGAATGCAAAAAAAAAAGTAAATATCAAGTAACACAGTTTATAGACCAAAACACATCTAAAAAAATCTTAAAATGTTTTCCAAACCAATAAGCACCAGTTAATCAAAAACGTCTCCAGTACAGTGTTAAACCCACATGTAGCTGCTGGCATTTGTTTAGGCCAATAAAAGGTTCAAGTTTTAAAGTAACCTCTTATACAGTAGGTGATACATACCATATATATATATATAAATACATCAAGCAGTGTTTTTTGGCTCATACGGGACTGATTTAGGTGTTGTTTTGGATGATATAAAGTGATGACAGAAGTAGGAGGAAGTTATTTAAAATAAAAAAAATAAATGTATGTTGATGAGCATCCAGTGAGTAAAGTGTCCTCAGGTTCAAATAGTTTCCTTAATTCCTGATGCAGTCTAAATGTGAATATCAAGTCTTAGGACATCAGTCTTCATATTTCCAGTCTCCTCATAGCCACACATTCATTTTCTTGTCCTCTCCACCCCTTCCGTCTGCTCTCAGAGGAGCGCTCGCTGCTGTTCTTCCTGCAGAAACGCCTGTTTTTCCATTAGCTTCCTGAAAAGCCCTTCCCTGTTTCCCAGCAGCTTTGTGGGATGGCCGCACTCTGCCACCCGCTGCTGGTCGAGGACGGCCACAGAGTCGGCGTTCTTGATGGTGGACAGACGGTGAGCGATGATCATCACCGTCCTCCCTGTTCATTTAGAGAGAGATTTATAGAGATAAGAAACAAAGGAGCATATTGGTATATTTCTTAAAACATGTGATGGGGAGATGAAAGGGCTACCTTCCATGAGGCGCTCTAAAGCCTCCTGAACAAGGAACTCATTCTCAGCATCCAGCGCACTAAAGAAAGGAGATTAACAAAGCTTTGGTGGAAATGCTATAACAGCAGTTTTAAAAGCCAATGTAATGGAACTACTAAAATTAAAATAGTTCTGATAGGCTGCTCTGAAACAGCCAGTAAGTCTCACCTGGTGGCCTCATCCAACAGCAAAATCTTAGGGTTCTGGTGAAAAACAGGAAAACAGAGTAAAAAGTCAGACAGGAAACCAACTCATGGAGGATCTATTTTAACGTATGTCTCTACCAACTTTACACAAGGTTTTTTGAGACAGGTTTTCTGAGATTGTATTTGAGTGGATACTATTTGGATAATACTTTAATGTTGTTAAATTGTATTTCTATGTTGCATAAAACAAACGTCATACAAACCTGAAGGCTTCCAACTTAACAGTATGGTAAGAGCTTTTGTATTGCTAATTTACTTAATGGTGCTAAAAAAAGTTCCTCATGGTAAAGTGGATTAAGTCTGACATTTAATCAGGTGTGCTGGTTCCCAGTGAGTAAGTTTCCAAACTGTTTCTAAATCTAAGAATCATATCAGTTAAATAGTTTTTCTTTTTTTTAAGCAAACAAACTTTGAAAATGCAGACAATTATAACTTAGAGTCTATAAAATGGTTTGGAAACTCAAATATTTTCTTATACATTTATTTACAGACTAACCCAATCCCTGCTGAAGGAAATTATCCTAACAAATTTAAACAAGCTGGAGTAAAGTAATCTCAGAGCTAAATGTGTTCCAGTTTTGCACTTGTAGACCCTTATATTCTCAATGGCCGCTGTTACAACCACAACAATGACAAAAACCTGTTTTATGTGGTTTTCTAAGCCGACACAACACATTTTATCCTACAAACACTTATAAGTAACACCTGGGCGACTGACTTAATGTTGCATACATAATAGAAAACTGCTAGCATCCATCTTTAATGTGGAAGTCGGGAACCATCCTGTTGCAGCGACTTTCAAAATCGCAATGTGCTCTATGCACAACTCAACTACTTCCTAAACTTAAGGCAGCTCTTTAGTTTCCTGTCTTTTTCTCCTGGATGAATTTATTAATCCAGGTGTGCCTGACCTCAGAAACCATGACCAGACACACCTGGATTAACCCTTCATAGGGCAAGTTACCAGTTTTCAACACTTGCATACCCCTTACAAATGTGAGGACTAGAAGCACAAGATCTATATCCAGCCATTCAGCATAGGTACTGCTACATGGCTATAAATCTTATCCTAGAATTTGACCAATTAGATGAACCCTTAAAAGATATTACCTACTGTAAATGAACTTAAAAAAATTTAATAAGTCAAGAAAAAAAAGGTAAAAAGCTAACTGAAAAGTTAATAAGTTAATAAGCCTAGCTAACAATTATATTTAGGTTTTTAAACAAAAAAATGTAAGCCAGTATCAGCATTAATGCCTCTAAGGTTATGTTGTACAAAAAAAAAAACGTGCTTCTTTCACTCTCAGTATTTTTAATAAATATCTCGTAGAACCACTGTTGTCGTTTTTCTTAATATATTCATTATTGACATTAATTTTTGCCATCAAAGTATCCATAATTTTTAAATCTTACAAAGGTAATACAGTGTTGTCCTGGATTCCAATAACAGTATTGGCCTGAAAATTTGATTTTCAAAGTTATTTCACTGAGTCTCCTATAAAGGGTTAATCAGAGCAAACGTATTTCAGGAAGTCGAGGAGTTGTGCATAGAACCAATTCCTTTCAGGGTTATTTTCAGATCAAATTTAGGACTTTGAAATTGGACATTTCAGCTTCCAAAGACAATTTGAACACACCATAAGTTTCTCCATGTGGACACATGTTGAGGGTCATATGCAAACTGGGTACTGAACACAGGCCTAAAACATTTAACCTTTTTTTTTCCTTCAACCAGAGCAGCTTTCTCCTGTTTATGTTTCCTACATGAGAAAACAGGACAGGTTTATTTCACCAATGTCTCTCTTCTTTCAACCTTTAAATATAATAATACTAATAAAAATAATAGAACTTTATCGATCTCACACTGGAGAAACTGACCTCTGCATTTAACCTATCCCCTTGGGGAGCTATGGGCTGCCATTGTGCGGCACCCTGGGAGCAGTGTGGGGTTAAGGGTCTTGCTCAGGGACCCAGAGTGCAGGCACAAGCGCACTACTCTAAGCACTAGGTGAGAGAAATAAAGAACTAAATGATGCTTGACTCTGATGTTTTTCAAACCCTTATCCCTTATTGTGTATTATGCGTAGAGTGTGTTGGTCTCTTCCATAAATCCAGATCAATCTAGCTGTGCTTTCCTCTGATGCATTTTAAGCAGTAAAATATAAACATAAGGCTGTTTTTACCTTAAGCAAAGCTCTGGCGATGGCTATCCTCTGCTTCTGCCCACCTGGGATACAGACACACATTCATTAATAAAGACTACAGGCCGACACTAAAGGCAGAGTAGTTTTGATTTGATTTTTAATGAAATGTAAATATAAGGGAAGTGAAGAGGTGGTTTAAAAGCTGCTGCTGGCAGCTAGAAGTTAAGTGAAACTATTGGCCTGGCTGTAAATCCAACATATTGCTGCTTCAGTTCCTCACCTGACAGCAGCACTCCTTTCTCTCCCACCACAGTATCAAAGCCTTTGGGAAAGGCCTGGATGAAATCATAGGCGTTGGCCACTCTGGCGGCATTGTAGATGTCCTCTGCGGTCACAGCTTGTGGGTCCATAGCGCCGTACGCAATGTTATCTCTGATGGAGCAGGAAAACAAAACTGGCTCCTGGAGGAGAAAGAAAAAAAAAAAGAGCAGACTACTGTAATGTCCTTTAAAACCTGAATCCTTCAGGCAGCTCTTCTGTCTGGGATTTAGGTGGAAGTGGTTCGATAATTACCTGGCTGACGGTCCCAATGTGATTCCTGAGCCAGTTGGGATTTAGATCCCTGATGTCACGACCGTCTATAGTAATGATACCTGGAGAAGAAGGGATCAGGACCAGCTTTATTTGATCTGACTACAGCGCTCACAGCATACAGGCAGCAGGTATGCACAGATAAACAGGAGGTATGAGTTTTAATTTGCTACTGAAAATGGGACAGTTTGAGTCTTTCTGCAGTATTTTGGTTTTATTTTTTAGCAGTGTAATCAGGTAAAATGGATGGATGGGTGGACAGACCAATTCATGCTTACCATTATCTGGGTCATAAAGCCTGAGAAGCAAAGACACAAGGGAGGACTTCCCTGACCCACTGGGTCCCACCACGGCCATGATGGTTCCAGCCGGGACCCGGAGGTTCAGATTCTGGAAAATAGGAGCCTCCTTCCGAGTTGGGTAGGCAAAAGAGACATCGCAGAACTCCAGCTGGCCTTTCAGCTGATCTGGAACAAGGACCTGGCCCTCTTTAAAAAAAAAAAAAAAAAGACAATCTGAAATATAGTTATAGGAGAAGCAAAACTTTACAGATTGCACAGCTTTCAACAACGAGACTTCAGGTGTAAGTTACAGACATTTCATTCTACCCATTTTTTATTTCTTTTTTTGTTGGACTGTTCCCAGTAGTTTTGAATATTTTTGATTTTTTCTCTTCCAGCAGAATACCAGCCAGATATATAATGCACTAACTTAGATCATTAGAATGGCCTGGTTAGGGTCCAGACCCAAATCTTACAGGGAATCAGCATCAACACTTGGAAGCTGATGTTCACAGACAAGATGTTTATAATTTGACTGAGCTTGAGCTTTTTGCCAAGACAAATACGTAAAGCTGGTAGGCTCCAACTAGCAGCTGGTTCTAGAAAGTATCCCCTGAGATGGTCAAGTACACGCTGCACTTTACATAACTTAATTTGTCCAAAATTGTAAGAAAAAAGAAAACAAAAGTGTCAGTTTGATGCAGCTTCACAAACCTCTTTGACTTTTAGTTTGTAAATAACACAAATAACAATACATGGATCATATCAGTATATGGATGAATTGATTAACAGTTAATTGATGTAAATATTAGTCGTCATGGATACACTAGCTACAGCGTTACTGTGTCAGAATGTAAACAGGTGATTGTTTTTTATTGTTCTTTGTAGATTAGGAAGGCTGCCGTTTTTAACCTAAAAGCCTTGTGCATTAATATAGATGTTGATAACAGTGTGCACAGCATTACAAACCATTTACAGGAAACTGGGGCTTTCTGTCCAGCAGCTGCCAGAGTCTGGCTCCAGCTCCGAAACCCTTCATCAGCTCAGAGTAGAACGAACTGAGACCTGCAAACCAAAACACCACTATCAGTCCAAAAGCTGTTTGTCCATCATATTTTATGATGGTTTCCTCAGATAGTTTACCTGCGATGCTGATTCCCACCCAGAAGGTGTACATGAGGAACGAGGAGAGCTCTCCCACAGTCATGTGTTGGCTGGCCATCAGGAGGCCTCCTTTGTAGAGCACTGACAGGATCATGAGGTTACCGCTCAGACCAGTCTGGGACATAAACACGTTTATTTTCATTCAATTACAACAACATCTGGTGCAACAGATACTTCCTGAAACAGCTCAGATTACACAAATAGCTGCCTCAAAGGGAGTCGGCTTGAGAGACTCAGAGCCTAGCCACTCTTATAGTAACAGATAAAAGTTTCAAGGGGAGAAACTAAAGACTTTATAAAATGCATCAATTAGAATACTGGTTGAAGATTTTATTGCAAAGCAAGGTTTTTATTTTTTAATAGTAAGGCATTTTTTAGCAGTTTGTTGTTGTGAAACATGTGTGCAAAACCTCATTGGTTCACTGTAGCTCTACAGCACCACTGCTCACACTTACCACTCCAAAGAAACCGGCTCTGATCAGGGCCTCCTTCTGAGCCAGGCTGAGGACGTCGTCTGCCCTCTGGGTGTACTTGTCCACCTCTGACAGCTCTTTGCCAAAGGCGCGGACAGTCCGGATGTTGCTAATCCGCTCCTCCGCCAACTGTATGTACAAATTTATTTGGGCTTTTAATCAGCAGCTGCACTTTATCTCCATTTTTAATGAAGTTACAACAAGCAGAGGGGCCTTTTATTGAAACTAAGGGTTAATCAAACAACAAACACTGATATGAAAAGAGAAAAAAAAAAGACATACTGTAAATTTTAATGCTTAGGTGTAAAAATAATGATATAAAATATAGAAAAAACCATCTTTTGCTGCCAGCCTGCGTACCTGAGTGGCTTGTGCCAGTGCATCCTGTGTACGCTTGGAGATAGAACGAAGGTATCTGCCATAGATGATAGCAAGAATGGCCATGGGGGGAACAATCAACAGAACAAAGCCCGCAAGACTGGGAGAGACATAGAACTAGAAGAAAGAAGGACACATCTGCAGTTAATGGAGGAAAGACAGAAAAAATATATACATACAAAATCAGATATTCTAAATTAAAGGCAAATTATTAATATTTTATTTTATAAAAAACTTTAAAACCAACTGAAAAAGGTTTGTAGCAGGGCCAAATCAATGAAGACATGGGCACCTGAGTTACAGACTGTTTTATTCCCTCAGTAGTTTCTTTCATTTATGCTAAATGCAATAAATTAGTAGTTAAACACACATGAGTTTCTAGGTTTAATGTCACAAACAAGAAATAACGGCCTGAAATGTCTTATATACAAAATAAAAACAGCAAAACTTCTCTGGCAACTATAGCTTCTTTGGAAATGAATTCCTCCAATGTTACACAAACATTTCTCATTAAATAGAGATCAAATCAATCTTAGGGCTTCTTAAACTTATCACCCTGCCCAATTGTCCTGGTGAACACTCCAGGAATAACTGAGTCAGAACCAGAACATAAGGGGCTGTAGCATGAACACTGCATGTAAGAAACAGTCAGGCACATCAGTCTGTTTCTGTTTTTTACAAGCAGAAGTGTTCAAAGCTGAAATTTCTCTACAACAAATCCAGAATTCACCTTGCATCTATTTACATTCATACATGCATCTCTAACAACACATGAGAAAGAAATATGAATAAAAAAAAACAATAATATCAGGGTAATTGTCAATCTCAGAAAAATCTAAGAACATATCTATGGTTTGGATTAGGGCGGCAAATAATGATTATTCAACAAATTGATTAATCTGTTGATTATTTTTTTGATTAACTGATTAATAATCGGATAGCCAAAGGTTTCTAAAAGATTTCTTTTACAAAAGTAAATCAGGTAAAATTAAAATGTATGTACTTGTGGAGTTCTGGATAGAGCATATTGACAGACAAAAACTTTTTTAAATCTTTTTTATCTTAAATGCAAAATGTATATACCGTATATATTTTTTTTACACTTTTAAGTGTGGGTTACAGCTAAAAGCATATTTTACAGTCTCTATACTACAGTTATAAATTAATTGATTAGAAAATTAGATGATTATTTCAATAATCGGTAATTAATGATTAATCTGATTAATTGCTTCTGCCATATTTTGGATATAACCAAATTGACATGCTTTGGTTATTACTAAACACATCTAATTCACTCCTCTTGTTTCAGCGTAGCAGCAGGTGTAAAAACAGTCCAAACAGAACAATTTATGATAACTATTCTGCTTTAAGCTCAGAGAGAAACACTCAGGAGAACCATGCTTTGCTATAAACTGGAGTAAATTTTAGTCCAATCAGGTCAGATTAATAAACTGGACTGATTAGACATGAAATGGATCCTGTAGGGTTGAATAAGAACTGAAAATGAGTGTCTGTAAAGTCTGCTGAGTTTGCAATGGCTGTGAAGCTGTCTAATAAAACCCTGTTGCTTTGCTGAGAGTGAAAAAGCTCCCTGTTCCTAAAGCACAAAGGGCTCTCATTCTGACAGCTGATTACAGGAACTGCTCCTTTTACTTCCTTGACAAAAGCAGGCTTTCAGGAAACCCTTGTTTCCTCATTGGGAGAGAAAAGACAGCATACCTTGCATTTAATGATTTATGAAAAATGTAGTAAAACTAAGGGCTAAGAAGGTATTTAACAAGACAGAAAAGGTGACAAGAACTGGCCGCACTAGACCCAATAGAACAGGAAAATGGTTCATTGCTTGATATACGGAGCTGCAGAACCAAAGAGCCACAGTGGCTCTGGAAACCCTAGATATATTAGATGAGAACTGTGCAACACCTTCAGCTTTTAAACGTTGTTGAACTAAAACTGTACAGGTAAAAAAATAAATAGATCAAAGGAACTAACTAGTTATGGTTTCTGTGCAGAAAACATATAAGAAATTCATTTAGTATTTTTGAGGTCATGGAAAGGACAGGTTCAAGCCACAGCTCCTGGAGCAGTGGTGGCACTGGCTGAATTGGGAGCAGATCTGCTAGTGCTAACATCCTTGTTTAGCTTTCCACTTACAGCGCCGTGACTCGCTGTCAGGAACTGTGAGATGAAAACACAACAGGGACCAGCAAGCGGATGGAAGGTCCTCCTGTTTGATTAGGCAGTGAAGCGAGCTGGGTGGAAGTTCACCTTTTGTTCTTATGTGCGACACACCATTTAAAGATATAATCATTAGGCTGAATACTCATTATTGATAAATGCAACATAGTTTTGCCTAATCAAAACTCCTATATCTGCAATGATATTAGTCAAAGTTTTGATTTTAGTCAAAAAGAAATTATTTATATCTAGAACTGTGGTTTTAACTAGCCACTGCAGACATCTGATGTCACAGACGTCTATAGTGGGGGTTCTAGACCAGATTTAGTAGGAGGCCAACATGTTTTTATGAGGCTACAGAAAAGAAAAAAAAAAACAGGGCAATAATGTATTTTTTAAATATATAAAGAGTAAACTTGCAACTTTGCACTGAATGAAGCTAATTTTCCACATGTGATGTTTATGGCTTTTCTTCTTTTTAGTTTTTTTAAGATGTTCTTTCTAATATTATGTCGATCCAAATTCCTAATTCAGAAATATGTCACATATTTTAACTTATTTAAATGAAAATGATCAGTTTTATTCAATCACAATTGGAACTTAAGTAAAACTTACAAAATTTTTAAGGTTGGTTCAAGATTTACCTGATTAAAACTGTGCAAACTTCCAAATCATAATTAAAACAGAAAAAAGAAAGAAAATATAAAATGCGTCTAAGGGAGCTTTCAGTTACTATGTCTGTTCCAGCACATTACATCATTAGAAATGTATTTTACTATTATGTCTTTAGTACGGGACCAGTTCTGCAGGGGACCCTTTCTTGAAGCCCCCATGGTAACAATCCTATTTCTTTCCAGGAAAAAAAAAAAAAACTAAGCTGATCTAAAGCAGACAAAGCAGGGAGGGGAAGGAAATAACCAGAGACAATTTCTTTCCTTTTACAGATAACTAGTTTTCCTGTAAAACCAGTTTGACCGTCCCAGAGTCTATATTTAGTCATCTTGTTGGAAAATCTTCTCACATACAGAAAGGACACAATGAAAAAAAAAAAAAAAAAACACAATGAAGATGTCAGGAAAATAAACATTTCCCTTTACTAAAGCATGCAGAGCGAGGCATGACCTCACCTTCCCTCTCTGCCATTAACAGCCTGAACACCTGAGAGCTTTATACCAAATATAATCCAGTACAAGTTTCTCCCTGCCCTGCCATTTTCAAAAACGCACATTCACATCCATCATACACTCCGTTTTCCTCCCAGTGTATGTCTGAGACAGTACCTACCATCATGCTGACACCGGCAGCTGCTTGTGCGACAGCCCTCAGCCCATCTGACAGGTTGTCAGTGATGGAGTGGCCCACCACGGCCGTGTCCGCAGACAGCCTGTTTATGAGCTCTCCGGTCCTGTTCTTATCAAAAAAAGCCACTTCTTGCCTGAGGATGGCGGAGAACACAGAGGTTCGGAGATTACGCACTATCTGCTGACCTGAAAGAAGGGGACAGGAAGATTTCACTGAGTTAAAACAATCGGTATGAGAACGATTCAATACTACACAGTTCTGTATGTGGACTAACAATACTGACCATCTTTACAGGAAGGGTCAGAGCAGACCCTACCTGCTGAGGAGACTAAGATCTGCTGGAGTGAAGGGGCCGCTGCTAAACACCTTCTTTGACTCTAAGGTGGCATCAGACATTTTTTTGGAGTGGTATGTTGGAGCAGCAGCTTATCTGCAGCTGAGAGGAAGCAATTAGATAAGCTAATTGGGAAGGCTGGTTCTGACCCAGGATGCCCCCTGGACCCACTGCAGCTGTTCTGAGACAGAAGACCTGCAGGAAAACTACCATTAGGAGGACAATGTCTCCTCCCAAATGCATGAAGTTTTAATAGAGTTAAGGAGCTCAGTGACAGACTGCTGTGTCCTTGATGCAAAAAGGATAGTCTCTGCAGATCCTTCCTACAAGCTGCTTTTAGACTTTATAATCTTTGCTGCTCCCAAGCTGACCAGTGAGTGCATACACACATGCTACTGGTTGCATATGCTCTTGATCTCATCAATGCTTGATTTTAACTCCTCCTGGGAGATGTTTCCGATTTCTTATATTGTACAGTTGACATTTTAAGTTGTTGTTTTCATTATGTCTTGTGTGCACATTTTTTAAATGTCTTTTTTCTACAATTATGTCTGAATTTCCTCTATTGTGACACATTAAATTTATTTATTATCTAACCTTACCCTGCTTTGAACTTCTCCACAGCTTTCCTGTTGCACTAATACATGAAATCCAAACAAATGCAATGATATCTTTCATTTAAATGGTTAAACAAGTCACAACTAGTTTCCTTTTTCATGTTATATGTAGCCTACATCACTGCTAGTTTGGATTTTATGAAGATCACAATTCAAAGGGTTAAAAAGAAAACATATGGTTTCAAATAAATGACTTTAAATCCACTTGGGTTTGTTTGCACACAATCAGTATGTTTGCCAGGCAACCAGCTTCAGGAAGCTCCAACATGACAGCTGGAAATAAATCCATAAAATGCTGCAGAGAGCAAATTGTTGGTGGTACGGCACTTCACAAAGCAGAAACCCTGCTTTGCAAACCAAGTTTTAATCTTAGAGTTGCATCCTCCTTTTAATTCTCTGCAAAAACATGACAGATTAAATGGAAAACTTTACAGTCTTTTATTAAAACTTTTCCCTTGATATTCCATGTGTTACTAATGACTAACTCCTGTCATGCCCATGTAATAAATCATGTATCCACGGTGATTGACTACTTTCTGAGCCACATTCGACTCACCTGATGCCTGCATGAGGTAGACCCTGGCAGCGTTGGCTGCGCCGCCACACAGAAAAACCCCTGTCAGCATGATGCACAGAGATGTCAGAGACGCCGTCATGGTCTCTGTATCCGTCCCGGAGGTGTAGATGGTGTCTATGACTCTGCCCAGGAAGAAGGGAGCCGACATGGTTACGGCACTGGAGACGGTGAGAAAACCAATGGCGGCTGGAAATGGAAGAAATCAAAACAGACATGAACTCTGAGTCATGGAAAATGGCACAATCTAGTGTTTTCCAACATATAAGGCATCCTTTTATTGGTAAACACAGCATAGAATTAGCCAGCTCATCTCCATATATTTTTACTTTTAAAAATTAATAAATGCAAAATACCAAATAATATGACTTGACTGGTGGGAGTATTTATAACATAGTGATTTTATAGTTCACTTTAGGCTCATCAGGTAACTGCAACATATATTAAAAAGCAAGGAAACAGCTCAGGTTGTAATAAAACCTTGGTTCTGCTCTGAGGCAGAGAAACAAGCAGGTGGACAATTTTAAGATCTGTACAGGGACAACAGATGAAAAATAGCCTTTTGGCTACGTCTGGCTAATAAAAAAATAAATAATAAAAAAAGGACATGCAAAAAAATAAAAAACTATCCCTAAGAATACACCCTTATTTAGATAAGACTGTATTTGTGATATGAATACACAAGGTCTGAAGGTTCTGTGGAAGGAAAGCAATATCTAAATGCAAAATGATAAAACAATTAGAGAAAATCCCAAACATTAAGTGCATTTTAGTTAATTTTATAATGATTTATCTTGTCAAACGTTCAGACCTGTTCAGCTTCTACATTCTACTAAATTTATTTATGTCTATTGAGGAGACATTTTAACAACCCTTTAAGTCCAGAATGATTAACTGGTTTACAAAAATCAAGCAAATTAATATAATATAAAGTGAGTAATAAGCTGCAAAGGTGAAGTCTGGGGGCTACATCTGTGATGTTTGGGGAAATGTGGGACTTGTTTTAAGTTGTTATCAGGATGTTCTACCTGCCAGCCTCCATCTCTCTGGGTGAGCAAGAACCAGGATCTTTTTAACATCATCCATGGGGACGGTGGTGGGGCTCTGCTCTCTGTCCTGGCTCTTCTCCGCCTCGGCTGCAGGTGTGGAGGCCGCCGATGAGCTGGCGAAAGCAACAGGTGTGTGACTGAGGGGCCGTCCTCGGAGAAAAGAGTGACCGGAGGTCAGCGTCCACAGGACGGGGCTGACTGGTGGCGGACAAGCGGAGGTCTTCACCCCGGAGGACAGCCTCCTCCTCCAGGGAGCGGCTGAAAGAACCGCCCGGTGTTCAAGGCACAACAACCTGGACTGGGCCAGTTTTAATTTACAGAAGTACATCCTGTTTGTGCAGTTCGACATGCGAATTAAAAGCCGCATTGTCCAAGTTGGTGCCAGAAATAAAGCAAATGTGATTAAAACCAAAGCGAGGATGTCTCACAGAGCCATCCAGACTCAATGACGGACAGTACCGATGTAAATCCACTTGAAGAAGCTTTCAATCGTCCCAGCTTGTAGCTCAGCGCTCCATATCCTCAGCAGATCCGTTTTAGGCTTCTCTCCGCTACATTGTGGTTTTTTAGACCGTTATTGGAGACTTTATCAGTCCCTGACAGCCGCCTTTAACCCACTTTATCTCTTATCACCGGTCAGCTCCTGACACCCTGCTGCTGCCTGTCATTACCAACGGCACCGACAGGGAGGCGAACCAACGACCAAATTCCGCCTAGCACCAAAGGAAACCTTCCGAAATTCCTCCTGAAGGTACCTGGAAGGAGCTGGAAACATAGAAATATAAGAGGTGACCCTGTTTTGGCTCACAGGTTACAGTAACTCACGATTCATCCGCCTCTGAAGGTGATGATGTAAGAAAACTTTCCCAGGCAGAAGTAAACAAACCCAGATCAACGAACCAAAACAAAAATCGTAATGTTGGAAATAATAAAATTCCACCCGGAAGTGATCCCCTTTGATAGGAATTCTAACATAGTTCATTTTCATTTTTATTTATGTTCTTTTAGCAAAAACATTTTAAAATACATTATTTATGTTTACCATGAACCAGTCACTCTAAATAATGCATCAAAGAAGTGCACAAAATAACAGTGATTTAGATAAATAAATGAATAAATGAAATAAAATAAAAGTTCAAAATAATATATTTTCTAACTATAATCTCATCGCAGTGTACAAAACAGCAACAGTGGTTGACATTTACAATAACAGATTCTTCATAAGCATTATTTCCTGATGGGTTATATAAAGTACACATAAATTCATATTTTATTTTCATTAATCTTACCCCCCCCCCCCAAAATAAATAAATACATAAATAAATAAAAATAAAATAAAATAAAAATAAAAAAAAAAAAAAAAATGAAGATTGATGACATTGACACTTGACTAGTCGAGCCTACCTCCTAGTCGTGCCAATCAGAATAGACGGAAGACACGTGCGGGTAACAAACTCTAATATTATCGGGGAATTTAAAGGCTATAAACTAGATAAATTAAATATTGATGATTATTCCGCTACGCTTTCTGTTAGGGCGGTTTTAAGTATCATATTTGTCACTTAAAGTAAGCTAGCAGTTAGCCTTAAAGCACCCGCGCTAAAACTCGCTTCAGTTTATACGAAATTACATTGTATTACTTAGCTTATGTTTACTTTAGAACTGTTTTACTGGTTTCTTAGATATATTACCAGCTCATAGTTGTTTGCCCCCTGATTTGGAGATGGTTTCCATCTCTTATTGAACTAACTACCCCCTGGTTTCTGTCTTGCAGCGGCCATGGCTGCCATTTACTCAGGTATCCATCTGAAGCTGAAGAGTCCGCAGACTTCATGGGAAGACAGGCTGAAGTTAGCCCGGTTTGCGTGGATGTCCTCCCAGTGTGTGCTGCCCAACAAAGAACAGGTAAAAGTCGTAACATGTTTATAAAGGGTGTTAAAGATAGGAGGAAAAACAGAAACACTTCATAAACAGTGTGCAAGCACTGTCACAAGAAAGGGTTGTTACTATTTATGGCTTTTCCTGTCATTTCATCAATATCAGGTGGACCTGCCTGCTCCAAAGCCACAAATTGTTCCCAGTCCTGCCCTGATTCAACCCCAGGAACTTTAAACTCAGACAGATCTATTTCATTTTGATATTATTTAAACCCCATTCTAAAATATTACATATCTAGTGTTTATTAGTGTTTATTAGACCCAAAGCTCACTGTACCTGGAAAAGATCCCCCTAAAAAATTTGAGATATTTAAAGGGAATCTCCTCACCTCTGTGTAGCTGTGTGGCTGGTCCATCAGTGGCTCTCCTTGAGTGATACAACTTGTTCAGGTTCGGGCGGACACACCATTTGTTAAAGTTGGCTCTGTGTATGCACCCTGTGTCTCTATCTCCGTTTCTTTTCCCTGAAAAGAGATCAATCGGGAAAAACTCTTTAAATTACACCTCATAACTTATATGTATTAAATAACCAGGAGACTTGACAACAGATTCTGGTAGAAATTGTAAGCTTACTCAGATCAGAAAAATGGCTTAGAATGTACAGAAGGCAGCTGCTCACCTCTGAGCTCACCTCTCAGGAAGTGGCTCCGATTAACAGTTAAAAAGGCATTTTATACATCTCCAGTCTGCCACATCATCTTATTTTACATCACACAAGTTAGCAGATGATTAGACATCCAATGCCCCATCCTTATCAAAATATTACACTACGTTCTTAACTGAAGCGCACCACTCTCATTCCATTTCCAAATTTTTGCCATGCACAGAGTCAAGATTATAACTGTATATCCAGAGAGAGGAACTGTCCTAATTAGATTAAAACATCAGTTCTGACGCGCAACAGGCAGACAGTACCAAGGTGTGATAAACTCACACATCTTCTATGATAATTATCCTAACAAGGGACATTATACAATACATTTAGCTGCAATCAAAACACTAGAATACAATCAGAAGATTTCAGATATTGAATATCTATAGATAGACAGACAAATGCATCTATTTAGAAAAATAATCCTATTAATTTTACTTTTTATGGCTTATGGTTTGCCAATTGAAGAACTACACAGTAAAAACACGTTTTCTTTAGTTTTCGTAGGTTACTTACATGCGTTACTGCATCACTGCAATGTTATGGATTCGAATAACTGTTCTGTATGATTGAGGTGTTTCCTTGTTGCATCACACCAGAAAAGAATAGACGATCAGCAAGCTTCTACAGCACTTGATTGCAGAGGAGCAGCCATAATTTTAACCAGATGTTCTGGAACAGAGACGTATCTAAATACATGCAGGGTATGCAGTGCAGGTTGTGTTAACAGCAGCCTCCATCTTATCTACATCATTAGGTCTGATGTCTCTCATCTTAATATTATCATACAGATTCTTAATGAGGTTCAAGTCATTAGTTACTGGTACTTTTGGCATGGCAGGCATGGCCAAAAATGAAGTGCTCTAAAGTTTATTGGTAGTGTTAACGTGGGGACTTTGGATTTTATAAAACACAATTGAACAATGACAGAGCTTTGTAAATGATCCCTCACTGGAAAATTATCTCCTTCCCTAAAGTAACCTAGATTCTTCCAGGTCAACAGTCCTTTCCATTATCCTGAGACCATGACCTACTATTCCAAGATTTAAACTGTTAGATGTTTTATGTGATGTAAGTTATCAAAACAATATTCAAATTTATTAAGATGCCTTTGTTAAAATTGATTAAGAGCTTTGTTATCAAGGCAGCCATCGTGGTTCAGTTTGATTGTAACCACTTTTTTTTTTTTTTGCTTGTTCTCATCTTTTTCTGTCTTGATCTGATTTGAATGCAGGTTTTGTTGGACTGGTGCAGTCATGCCCTGACAGGCTGGCACAGTAAGAAGGTGGAGCTGTCACAGGATGTCTTGGAAGGCTTATGGTGCTATCTGGATGAGGTAGTTCACAGTCGGAAGCTTCATTCATTCTTCAAAGAGGGAAAGACCGTAACTCTGAGGCTCAACATGGCGCAGGTGTGGAAGTTGTTTCATTTGAACACCAAGAGTGATGCTTTTTTTCTACTTCAGTGCCTTAATGCTTCTTCTCTTCTGGTTTTGATTAGTTGCTGCTGGACCACCTGCAGGACTGTAAAGATGGTCGACAGCCAGCGTATTTGACCACCGTGCTGAGTGTCTGTCTGGGGATTCTTTCCTCTCCCGCCCTTTCATCTGTATTTACCACAAAGTATGAACTGATGGTCAGTTTGCTGGCCAAGTTCTGCTTGGTGGCCTGCCATGAGATACAAAAGCATACACCCATAGAGCGCAAAAAAGATACTAAAATGGAAAATCTTCAGCCTGAACCTGATGCCAATATGGAGACCATTGAGGAACCCAAGAAGAAAAAGACCTCAGCTAATCTGTTTGAAGTCCTGCTTCAGGTACTCTCTTGTTATATATCAGTGCAGCGACAACAAGCCAACCCGAACAGAGTCTTCAACCTGGTCACCAACCAGCTTATCCAGCCTTTAGTGTTGCTCAGATACCTGCTGACCTCTCAAGACTTTGCTCCCTACACGCACTTCCATATCCGTCAGCAGCTACGCAGAGATGTCCGCAACAAGATCGAATCCATCCTCCAGTTATCTCTGTTCTCCTCCGAGCAGCTGGCATCCTACAAGGCGGAACTCCTCCAAACCAAAGAGGACTCTGGGAAACGTGGTTCTGGTGGGATGAAGGGGCCCCTGATGCCTGTCAGTGCTTTGCTTTCTAAACTGAATGCCCAGGATTACTGTGAACCATCTCTGTGCTACCCTGTGAAGTCTGACACTTTGTCCTTGATGTTCAAATTTTTTCTGGAAAGCTACGGGAATGGAAAAGGGGAAAGTGAGGAGGAGCAGAGGATGTTGTGTTTCTATTTTCTGGCCAGACTGGTAGCGATGTTGGATCTTAAGGCTGATGGAATCTCTGTTCCCCATGAGAAGAAACCTGTGCCAGTTTCCTCCTGGAGCCAGACTCTGCAGGCTTTGGAGTCTCTGTTTAACCAGGCTCTGGCAGCAGATATCTATAACATTGCTGCAGACAGGATAAGACATGGAGAAGTACAGCTCATTTTTTACAGAACCGTGGCTCAAACACTCCTTAATGAAGCTCAGCCAAGGTAAAATAATCAAATGGTTGAAATATTTAAACTGGTTTAGTTTTGTAATACAGCTTCATCTCAGTACATTTAAATAAGTTAATTTATTTACCATATGAATTCATTTCATACAGAATGATGCATGTCAGGTGTTTATTGCTGTTAAAATGAATGTTTATAGTTTACAGCTAATGAAAACCCAAAGATCAGTCATTAATCATGACATAACAAAAATGATCCAGGCAAAAAAAATGAACGCTTCCCATTGGACAGATGTTCACCAAGCTATTTGTTTAAAACGCTATAACTTGAAGATGAGCACAGAGCAATGCATCAAACATGTTAAAGAGGCAATTTCCTAATGATGCTGCCAACTGTGGCAAAAAAAAAGAACTGCAGCACTCTTCTTCTTTCTCTCGTACTGAACAAATTGGCTGTTTTCTTTGTACTTTTTTCACTTTACTAAAGTTAAGGTGAAAAAAGCCATTTACCATTGGTGTCTGAGTTTATTTTGGATGCCGGTCGCTTCTTAGTATCCACAAAATCCACCTTGAATGTATGCTTCGATTGTTTGCTAGATTGGACCCATTCAACATGGACGTACTTGACGTCACATCCGCCAAACAGCTTGGGAATTTCTGACCTGAATTAAATTAACGAAAATATGCTACATGCATATAGATGCATCGACACTGAACCACTGAGGTGTCAGTTCGCTCATCAAACCATCAACCACATCAAACCATGTTTTAGTCATGAAGGGTCAAATAAAAAGGCAATTTTAAAGATATTTTTCAGTAAAAGCATATATAATGTCACTTTAAGGGAAAGTTAATTGGAAGAAAAACGTGAAAAAAATGCACAGGTAATATGGATAAAAGCAGCCTGGAGGGGAAACTTGATGCAATGCACAGTTAAGAGTCGGCGTTTCAAAAACTATCAGAGATGTTGCTTAAGGTATGAGCTGTAGCTGTTGTTTCCCCATCCTCAACCAGAGAGTGTAGACTTTCCTTGGCTAAACCTCACATTGAAATCATATGACATTGTTATGGCACACATTAGAGACACAGAACATTTGATATGTGTTTTAAAGATATTATATATTAGGCTAATTCTTGGGTTAATTGAAATATTTAACTTAGAAATAGTTTCCAACTTTATTTAGACACATCTGTGTGTTTTTATGTTTATAACTAGTTTGAGTCTCAACATTGATTTTAATGCATAAAAAATATGCCTGTTTTGAATTGCAGCATCCCTTCCTGGTACCGGTGTTTAAAGGCACTTTTAAGTCTCAACCATCTGATTCTTGAGCCAGACTTGGAGCAGCTTCTGTCCTCTGCGTGGGTAGATGCTGGGAACATGGAGGCTAACGTGAAGCGGGCAAGACAGGTTAGATCTCTTTCCTTCTTCCCTTCCTAAAAGGACAGATGTAAAAAGCCTCAGTCAATATTTTACATTGCTTTAGAGAAATACCTAGATCTTAACATTTCACTGTTCAGTATTTTGGTTTGTTACCTGCTGACTATCTGCACCCATAAAAAGACAGAACAGGTCTCTTTTTCTTTAAAGTCTGGTTTTACTGGGGTTTAGGTTCTTAAACTGGGTCCAAAGTGTGAAACAAATAATTTTTCAAACAAAATAAAGTTGCTAAAATTGAAACTATTTACTTTAGAAATTTGTGTATAATATTCCTTTTCATATTCTACAGTCTGGGAGATATTCTATACCAGAGGCAAAATGTATTTATTTAAAGTAACCTCTCTTCTTTTTTTCTGACCAGCTCATGGTGTGCAGTCTCCTCCAGACCTACACTAAGCTCCGTCAGCTGCCTCACCTCTTCTCTTCGCTCCTCTCAGCGATCTGCAAGCCAGGTCTGGATAAGCACCGCCCTCCTCTGCTCCCAGAGGGCATATCAGCTTCTCTCAGGACTTGCCTTCTGGACTCATCGCCTTCTCAGGTCCTGGAAATCTGTTCTTTAGTGCTGCAGAACATCAGGACCAATTTACTGCCACACTTGGTGAAGGAGAAAGGAGACGGAGAAGCGATGGAGATAGATGGAGGAGACCGACAGCAAGAGAGAGAAGCAGCATCTCTGAAACTGTCCAGTCTCTGTCAGCTGCTTCATGTGGTTTTGTTTAACCTGAAAACTCTGGATAATTCTTCTCCGATTCTTCTCATCAGGCAGAGCAAAGCCTTTATGGAGGAGATGCAGCAGCCTATTAAAGACCTTCTTCATCTGTCTTTAAATTCAAATGACACTTCTGCTCTGAAGACTCCAAAGAAAGGAAAAAAGAAAGCGTTGAAAGCATCCCTCTGGGAACAGAGGACCCAGGAGGCCGCTCTCCTGCTCAGATATACCTGGGTGGAGGTGGACGTTCTTTTCCACATCCACTGCAGCAAATACACGACTGTGGACTCATTCCTGACGTCCACTGAGGAAGAGTCTGTAGCATCACCTATTCTAACCCACATTGGAGATCTTATATCAGGTGCTTTCGTACAAACACGTCTCCACTCGTCTCCATCCTGCAGCCCCATGAGTCGTTTGCTGCTGAAGCTCCTCACTCTGCAGCAGATCAAGAAGGTTTTACTGGATAACGCTTTACTGGGTGAAAGCAGCACCACCGCCCTACTAAAGAAGGCAGTCCGGTTTATCGTAGAGATGGAGGGTGGACCTGTCGAAGAGCAGGAGTGGGACGGTCAGATATGCAGCGTAGATGGTAGAACGTACCCTGCTGCATATTGGTTCGTCGTTGTGTCTAATTTACCTCTGCTGTGTCTCCATCTGAGCGAGGATGACATCAGCCACATAGCGCATTTTTTGGTGGTCTCGTTGATGCACGGAGACCTGGAGAGAGTCGATGATCAGCTTCCTGGAAGTCTGAGTTTCTCCTCCATATCGTCTCAGCTTGCTGTGAGCAAAGTATTTCCAGAGCTGCCGTCTCTGTTCTCTGCTACAGTTCGCTCCATCGCTCAGAGGATTGTAGGTGTGCTCAGAGCTGGACGTTCAGCCAAAGCCCTTCCTTCGTTTCTGATGGTTTATGAGAAAGAAGCTGGATCTGTTCCATCAGAGAATAATGTTTGCCGGCGTGTTTTCTCCCTGACGATAATTGAGGCCATAGTTAAAGATATCTCTGCCGCTCCTAAAGCTGGAGAGGCATTGGTGCTGCTGACAGACGCTCAAACCAAGGAGCTCCTCAACCTGATCCAGATCTTAACAAACCTAAATCCTGACGGGATGAACTCTGAGGATCTTTCCTCCATCTTTCTTCTCCTCTTCTTTGTGTTTACCTCCATGCAGACCGAGCAGACGGTTGTGGGGCCTCTTCAATCTGGGGGGGATCCTCGGTTCTTCGGGAAGCTGCTCCGAACTCTGACTTGCCTTCTGGAGGGAAACGGCTTCCCAGGTATTTTAAAGCTCATTCATGGGGGCACCCTTCTGCAGACGGCTCTGTCATCTCTCCTGTGGCACAGCAGCTGCAGAAAACCAGAGGCCTCAATCAGCTCTGATTGGCTGGATCTAGTCAGCGCTGCACAGGGCTTCATTAAATCATTGGTGCAGCTGATTATAACCAGAAATAGCAGCATTAGGCTCAACCTGGATCAGTTTGCTTCTTATGTAACCAGTAAGGAAACAGTGAGCAGGCAAAATAAGCAACTAAGCTCTGAAGTATCCATGTTGTCTGTCCATATTCTCCTGGCCTCTCTGACCTCCTTCTCTCAAACAATGATGTCTAACTTGGGAAGAAACAAGGCAATAGATCAGACTTTAACAGAAATCCTCAGGAGGACAACATCTTTACTTGGACCAACTCTCGAGTCAGCCTTAAAGTCTCAAAGGTTCTCTTCCAAAGCTGTAACCCAACCACACTGCGCCCTCGGCCAAGCCTTTATTGTGGAAGTTGTGACAGTGATGCTGCAGTGTGAACTGGCTGTGCTGGAGGCGCAGCTGAAGAACAAGCAGACAGCCCTGACTCACATGAACCTTTATCAGGCCATCTGCCAGCAGATCCTGAGAGAAATGAGTTCAGCCTCGAGGCCCATGGACTTCCTGGTCTGCTCGCTACGCTTCCTGTCAGCTTTTTATAAAGCAAAGGAGAAGAAGCAAGGAGAGGAGATGGAGGAGCTCTATGTTCAGATAATACAGAACGTGAACCAACTCCTGAAAGGTAAACAGACAAAACAGTCAAATATAAGCTTATTATGTAGAATGATATTAACAGTTGAAGGCTCTTCTTTGATTATCAGCCGTTTAACTCATATGGTCTTAATTTGTGTCCCAACATTTTATCTATTTAGTTTTTTTTAAGAATTCCCATTTACTTTTTACTACTATTCTATTTTTTTTTTACTTCTAACGAAAACCACAGATTTAGCAAATATCACCTAGTCTTTTTTATAAGACAGGATAGGTGAAAAAAAGGAAAATTAAAATTGAAAAAGGATGAAATTCTTTTAAAACAAATTTAAAAACAAATGTCCATCTTGTTGCATTTTTAAAGCCAGTTAAAGCATTAAGTTTTATTTTTGTGAAATAAGACAAGATCTCACTGTCATCCACTCAGTTGTTCAGAATTGTATAAAAATGCTCTGAAAATAACATTACTTGCTTTTAGCTCCTTGGCTGTCATTGACTGACACTGCTGAGCTGGAGCCAGCAGTACAGGAGCTGCTGCGCCACCTTGTGGAGAAAAATACCACAAGGCAGTTCAACATGCTTCTGCTGATGATCAGAGACGGTCTAGATGTCAGCAAGCTGAGGGCAGGAAACTGGAAGGTGAGAACAGGAGTGCTGCTTTTAATGTAAGATCAAATATGTTCTTCACCTGAATTAATGTGCTTTTAAATATTCCTGCTATCTGTGATTTCTTGTATTAAAGCTTCTGTTTTCTACATCTTAATGCAGTTAGTTAGCTTGAACTTTTTCCTCATTCCAAATTCAGTGGTGCTGAAGTTACAGATTTATTTTTCTTGCTATGAATAATGGAATATTTAGAGGAAGGTGCTCTAATCAGATGGGCTTTAAACTTTCTGATATTCATGCGAAGTATAAAACAAACTTAGACTGTATAGTATGCTGCACACACTTTCCTCACTTTGAAACACAGTTAATGTAATATCTTGCTGCCTTCTACTTGGACCCAGTGAAAGATAAACTTTATTTCTAATATAATATAGTTTTGGTATTTGACTCTTCTAGCGACAATATTTTCAGATTAATCTAAAAAGATATATATTTATCACAAACTAAGATAGTTTAATAAACAGGCTCTCTTACTGAAAAATAATCTTGAACATTTTAAATAGATTATAAATCAGTAAAACGGGGAGAAAACTCAACTCCATGCTCAGAAATGACACTTCAGGTGTTAGGGATGGAACAGCTGAAGGTAAAGGCTGTTTTTCATCCTAAATACTAGTTGTTGTTTTTTTTGTTTTTTTGGCTTCATTTTTGCTCTAATTTGATTGTTCTTTTAGACTAATGCTAGGGAGTTTGCCAAAATGTTCCTCTTCACTTATCACAAGGATATACATTTTTAATGTTTCATATTTTGAATATATTGCAATGATGATTAACTGTCCACACATATGTTATTCTTTATACTTCAGTTAACAATTCATTGGTTTCTGAATTAGTTGACAAATATTACATTAATTTATCAACCACAATTGATGAAATTCATTACTTCAGTCATATAATATAATGGACAGTATTTAGATATTTATTTAGTTCCATTTAACAGTTTCCCCCATCTTGTGTTTTTTTTCTGTAGCATAAAAACCTAGTGAAAGAAAGTATTTAAATAGTTCAAGAGCTGTGAGTACTGTTGGAAACATGTGGGATCAATAGATGCATGCTCTGTTGAGAGCTTGGTGGCATCTCTAACAGGAGATGTTCAGAGCTCTAGTTTGGGCAATGTATTAAACTTTTTCCCTTTCACAGAACAATAACAGGTTTAAATTTTACTTTCACTTCTTTACCAGAATTTTATTGCATTTATAATTTTAATGTTTATGGTCCTTCCACTTTGACATTTTTATTAGAATGTTTATTTTGTTTGTTGTAATTCAAACATCTCTATATTCTGACCAAAAGTTGCATTAAAACTTTCCCCTGGCTTTGCTTTTTGTGCTGTTTTACAGGAGGTGCTCTCAGCTGTAATCACTGTTAAGCTGCTGTCCAGCTGTCTGCTACCAGAGACCTGCTCCAAAGCTCTGTGGCTCATCGCTCCGCAGATCATTTCTGCCATGGTGGTAGGGAAAACATCCCACTCATACACCTTAAGTCCAGCTTCTTAGACGAAAAAAGCCTAAAGCAGTGATGCAGGCTACTAACTGTGTGACAGAACCAAGCCTGCAGACTGACACCATCCACATAAAAGATGAGAAGCTTGAACACTGTGTAGCTCAGGAGTCAGTTTTATGTACTGGGTTACAAAGCAGCACAGGTCATCTTTGTAAGAAGCCTTTTAAATTGAACTCTCTGAATATGTGGTCTGTTGTAATTATGTGAGCTCAACCACAAGACTCTTTGGTTTCATTAGGTAGTAAATGAGGTAACGATCAAACATGGAGAGATTGTGGCAGTCCGCTGTGGCCAAGTAGCTTTTCTGACCACCGAGGCCTTGCAGAGCTTTCATAGGGAGCTTTTAACAGAACTGGTTTATAATTCATGACATTTTGATTTAAAGATAACTGTAATAAGACTGTACCAGGAGGAGATTTTTAACAAGAGCATGGATTGCAAAAGTGAGCTGTAAACCAGTTTGAAAACCATTTTATTCTGACATTAAAAGTTAAGGGGATGTGAGCTTTTTTTGTTAACATAGTTCAAGACACTTCTTTTCAGTTAGTGTTTGTAGGAACCCTCCTGATTCACTGCCTTTCCATAAAAAACAAATGTCTAAATATATCAGTTTCAACATCTTGACTAAACACTTTTCGGTGTAGATGGTGACGAACAAGGGATGAAGACTCAGAGCTGGTCAATGTCCGTAGTGCTTCTATGACGAAGAAGTATGGCTAACACCTTAAAAAGAAAATAAAAAAATACCTATATGTTTTAAGTATTTCCTTGTTACATACTGGCATCAAAACCAATAAGAATTAGAATAATGATGCTGGATGTTTGTGATTAAAATGTATCAAATGATGCTTCATGATGATCCATGTTTACTTTGTTCATTATTGTTTTTAATAATCTTATCAAAAAAACTTAATATATTATCTCTACTTTTTTTTTAATTGTTCGTTATTTATCTTACCCTTTGGAATACATATTACAATGGTTTTCTTTGTCAATATTGGGATGAAATTATAATTTTAATAGTTTTTCTCTATTTTAGTAAAATGTAATCAAAAAATGTGAAAAATAAGTTTAGTTTGCATTATTTAGGAAAGCCAGCTCCCATTTTATGAATATAGGAGACATTCTACTAATGATTTCGAGTTGATTAATCAAGCCAGGGCTGTTTCTGCTCTTCTTTGTTAGTCAAACTTCTGTTTCACAAAGGAACAAATGATCAGTTTAGAAATATGGATTAGAATCTGTTAAAATCAGGCTTTTTGTTTTAAGACTCTATTGCTGAGTCTGAAAAAGGCATTGTTTCAATGGTGCAGTGGCTAGCATGCATACCATTGCATGGAGGCCTGCCCTAGTCCTCGACGTGGCCGACCCCGGTTTAGTGCTGTAAGAAACCTCAAAAAAAAAAAAAAAGTCTGAAGGAGTCTTGTTGCATTAGACTTAAGCTGTATATGTATCATTTTGGGGGGGGGGTTGAAATTGAAGTAAAACCACACAAATTCTTGGTATAACACTGTAAAAATAACTGTCAGTATTCTTAGGCCACCAGTTTTACTGCCTGCAGTGGGAAGGAAGAAACTATGACAGCAGCTGTACTCACTAACATCTCTCTGGGATGTCATTTTAAGTGTCTTTATTTTTAATGTTAAAAGCTTTTGCTTTTCTATTCATTCTTCATATTAGGTGAGGGTGAAAAAAACTAAACTCTTGACTCTTTGTGGACGTTTGTGTCCTGTTTTTATTTTAGTTTTGGTGTCCTTCTGTGTTACAGTTCTTGGTGAGATCGTCCAGTCAGGATCTCTCTTTGACCCTTCCTTTTACCGTTCCCACGGTAACATCCCTGACATCATTGCTGCGCCAAGGCGAGGGTCTGATCGGCAACCCGCAACATGTGATTCAGGTCCTGGAAGCGCTGCAGTCGCTGCCTTTAGACCACTTGAGCCCAACCGTTTACCACTCTGCATTCCTGTCCATCCATGAGGCGCTGTTTGCCTTTATCAAGAGCCATCCTCAGGTATAAAGACAGAAATCTATTGACTTTAAGGAATAAAACTAGATGTGAGATGTGGGAAATGAAGCTCTCTAAAACCAATGTTGTCACAAACTTCCAGGCCTTCCTGGTGTGATAGTGAAGGAGCAGAAACATACGTTTCTTTAAATAACACGGGTTGCACGCTGCAGTAGGATTTACCATGGAGTCATGAGCCGTAGGTGTCGAGGGCGTAAGCTTTATCTCAGAGCTGACATATTTTTCAGTGGTCTATTGAGATATTACCCCCTGCTTTCAATCACACCTCTCCTTAATGTGCAAGGAACCAGATGATCGCCACAGTACAGCAGCAGGGGACTGACTTTGGTTGTTAAAACAAAATGTCACGTTTTAGTTTGAGTTTTCACAACGACTCTGACATCTACAGGATAAGGACCATAAATGGTAAATAACAAATGGCAACTAAGGCTGAAACAATTAACTGATTAATCGTGATTAATTACTTTTTGAAATAATTGTCAACTAATTTAGTAATCGATTAATCTAAACTGGAGTATAGAGATAGAAAAACATGCTTTTAACTGACCGAACAACATTTTTAGAGCAGTCATTATAACAAAGTTGTAAAAATAAATATAATTATTTTGCATTTAAGAAAAAAAAAAATTTCCATCAGTATTCTCTATTCGAACTCTTTAAGTGGAAAAGTTTTTTTCCCACCTGGTTTAATTTCTTTAAGGAACCTTTTAGTTTCCAATTATTAGTCGATTAATTGAAAAAATTATCGATTTGAAAAATAATCATTAGTTGCAGCCCTAATTAGAACTGTGAACATTAGCTGTCCAGTTAAAAAAACATCCCTGTAATCAAATTATTGCTTAGCACACGATATTTAATAGAAAAGACAAGCAAACATGATGCTAAGCCACAAACTTGACTTTACCATAGAAATTGACACAACACTAAACAAATCCACATTTGTAAGCATTGGAAAAATCAGACTTTAATATAGTGGATTAAACAAAGAGTGCATTTAAATTTTAATGAACTAAAGCATATCTTCATAAAATCTGGTTCCTTTAGGGAGGGGAAGTAACTTAGCCATTTTAAAACCTGAAAATCAAATATAAGTTTCTAATTGTTGGTTGAAAACCTTTTTGACAGCAATGAGGGCTTAAAGTCTAGAACTCTGCATCAGCAGACAGTTTTAAGTTTGGTCTTTAATAATTAAAGTGCGATCTTATCTGGGTTAAAATCAGAGGACTGACTTTACTGTTCGAGAATATCCCACTTCTCAAGAAAAACCCTCCAAGGTTCCTTTGGCTCTACGGTCTTTATGGTCCATCACTCTGCTGCCATCATGCTCTACAGTTTTTCTTGCTAGAATGATGTTAGAATGTCCAAAGGATTTTCTTCCATGACCGGGCTCAGTTTTTCAGGTGATTTATTTATTTATATTTTTGTTCCATGGTCCAATACAGCCTTTCTGTTCTGGGGATTTATATGTTGACCTTGTTGTGAACTCTGTACAGTTTTATCTGTATTCATATGCCTAACTCCTGATGAGTGCATATTTGCTTGGTTGGCTTGTTGCAAACCGGTTTTTCCTCACCATGGAAAAATGGATGGAGTTGAAGCTGTTGGTAGTGAAGCTCCTTATTGATTCTCTCTGTTACCTCAGACTGTTCCTGCTTTGTTTCTGATGCCTTGACATTAAAGGCTGATTTATACTCAGAAACCAGGTCGTCTGCATATGTCCCAGTGAATGCAAAATGTCCCTGCTGCAGACACTCTGCTTTACCTCTCCAAATCTGTAGGTGACCGCAGACAGTGGTATCTGATTGGTCAAATCTACATCTGCACTACACTATGCGCATTTCCTGTTTGGGACCTTACTGGATTGTTTTGTTTGTATGACCGCCATTGTGGAAAACGACTCATGAATTTGGACCAGCTAGAAGAGCGAGGTGTGCGAGAATGCTGGGACTAGGGCTTAAATCGACGAATCAGCCGATTATTTTTTCGATTAATCGATGAATCGGACAAAAAATATTTTTTATATTAACCTCTTTATTCCAAAATAAACATTTTAGACAGAACAAACAAGCACACAAGTACAGTCTGCTCATTAACTGTACTGGTGCAATATGAAAAATAAATGTTTGTGTTAAAACTACGCAAACTTACATGAGAAATGTAGCTGTAAATCCACAAAATATAGGGTACTTTGTTTCATATAGCGCAAAAAAGACAGGCATTTTTGTTTTTAAAGCCCCTAAGGGGCTCAAACAATAGGTCCCCCCATTTCAACCAATGAGTTTTTTTAGACTAGAAGAGTTCTGCCTTTTAAGACAGGAAAGTATAGCAGTTAAAGTTGCTACTTGAGAAAATACTTAACCATAGAGATAAAAATAGCCCTGTGATTCAAATTATAAATTGTATTTGGAATAAAAATGAGAGAACTAGGGGTGGCAAAAAAAACACATCCTCCAAAGACAGATATTTACATGGGAATGTGGCATATAATTAATTGACATATTACTGATCTTGCTGGATTTTTTTCTGCTTTACTTCCATAAATTGCAGGATCTTCTTTACTTTATCTTTGCCAGAAGATTTAAACTTTAAAAGCCTTGCCCTCATAATTTGCAAGTTAATTTATTTATAAAGTAAATGTAAACGCTGCTTAAGCTAATTCAAATGAAATTAAAAGTAAAATAAGTAGCCAACCTTATCACTGTCTGTAACCTACTAACAAGGTAAGAAAAGCATCAGATGAGCTACCTGAGAAACTAACGTAACGTTTCCCCACTTTAAAACCAAACAAACATGGTCGCTCACCCTGCTGATCAGCTCTCTTCACTGCCATCGAAGGCTCCAGCGTGTTTTCTTTTCAGGTGCTGCATCATAACAGTGGTGCTTCCGTGCCATGTTCATTTGTTTATACAAAAGTTGCCTGTTACGACTTTTTTCGCTTTACAAAGCGCAGGCTATTTTAATTATTGTGATCAATTTGCGCCGTCAATCCCGGCGCATGCGCGCTTCATTTGCAGTCTGGACGCTGAGGGTAAACATCCTCTGACTGCAGCGCTGAGAGGGACTCCAGGGGGAGCGAGGTTGGGATGGGGGAGGTGCCCCACGGCAATGACGACGGCGGCGGATGACGCATTAATCGCGCGACACAACTAATCGATGATGAAATTCGTTGCTTTTAAACGCTTTTAAAAGTCGATTTTTATCGATTCGTTGTTGCAGCCCTAGCTGGGACCCTTATTCCACCTGGATCTACGCTCTTCTTGCCACCACTTCCTCACCCCCTTGGCTGTATCTAGACCCACAGCTAGTTCCTGATTGGCCCTCTTGTCTTGTGGCGTGGAATAACATGCTTCAAAATTGGCCATACATCAAAAATATCTGCGACAGGCTGACTGTGACACACTGCAACGGGAGTATAACTAGCTTTCCTCCTCAAATATAAAAAGTATTTACCACTCCTCTCTGTCAAGACTGTCAGTGGGGGAGGGGTGGCCTAGTGGTTGGGGCATTGGGCTTGGAATCCAGAGGTTTTGAGTTCAAGCCCCACTCCCAGAGACTGCAAGACCCTTAACCCCCTGCTCCCCAGGACCGAGCAGTGGCAGCCCACTGCTCCCCAAGGGGATGGGTTAAATACACAGGTGAATTTCTCCAGTATGAGATCAATAAAGTTCAATTATTATTATTATTAAAACGTCATTATAAGTTTTGTAGTGGAGCCTAGACTTTTATTAGACACAACATCTGTAAATAAACAGATATCAGCTTTTAAACAAAGTTAAACATTAAGTTTTTAGGAGATCTTTGGGATTTTCTGAGTACAGGAAAAAGCAGTTTCCTGTAGAAAACCAGTCGTTAGCTCTGATGTGCTGGAAGTCTGTGTAGGTGAATGGTGCTTTGAATATATGATATGAATGTGGATTGTGCTGCCACTGAGCCCTCAGGATACTCCACATAGGAATGTTGCCTCCAACCAGAGGATATTGCAGCTCACTATTATGGTACATCATGATGTTCGAATTTCAGCATCTCTGGCTGTTTAACATTTTCCTCTAAATGAGGGCATTTATATTCAGTTTTTTTTCTGGGCTAAATTATAACTTTTTTTGTAAATCTATATGATATTTTGTGTTATTTAAAAAAAAAAAAAAAAAAAAACCCAATGACTTACAGACTGAGCAAAAGAGAAGTAAGGAAGCTGCTTTGAATTAAGTGGGCCAAGAACCAGTTAAATGTTGTCAGATGTTTGTATGAGAAAGAACATAAGAGGAGGAGGGACGGCTTCATTTGGATGTTGTGGAGATGAGGAAGGAAGCTAGAGATGATGGGTTAAAGTGTTCGACTGGATCGAGGCAAAGGACAGGATCTGGTCCAAGATGCAAAAGTAAGGAGGCAGAGCGAGACTAAAGCTAGAGGCGGCATAAAGGGAGGTGTGGATGGGTTGGCATGAAACACATTTAGGTCAATGGAAACCAGTAATGAGCTCCAACCTGGGCTGGTGACCTCATCCCTGCCTGGTTTGCATTCTTCCTGTTGCTCCTTACCTCCATCTGTCCACAGCAGGACTGGAGCAGGGCCTGGAGGAGAGGAGCTCACAGCTAGATTTGGGCCAGTATGACACTTTTACATTATAATTTGGACTATAAATACCACTGTTCTGTATTGTTATGTTACTTTCCTTTAAACTAAAACTTAAATGACTTTAATCCATCAACAGCTACAGTAATGAGACTGACAGCAGATTTAAACTCTCAGTATGCCTTGATGCAGATTACTGTCCATGGCTGCTTAGAACTCATTGTGTTTTCCATCTATCTCTGTCTACTCCATGAATTAGTGAGATTACTGCCACCAGGACTCCATTTTTTTTATTAGTCTGTGCTTCTTTCATTGTTAAATGTCTAACCATTTTATTTTAATTTAGTCGCAGTTTACAAGCCAGCATTGATGCTGCCATTACATCCAAACAGCATTTAAGTAAAACTTTATCTAGAGTCCACTAATGTTTAGTAACATAACTTAATCTCTTTGTTTAACCAAAGTTTTTTTTTAAATGTTAAGGGGAAAACGCTTTCCTAATAACATAGAAGCCATACACTTAACGATTGCAGTACTATACCTGCTTGTCTCCAGGTGATCTCCAAGGCAGCTCCGTCCTTCTTAAACGTCTTCTATCGACTGGTGGCGTCCATCATGCTGGAGGGTCGGCAGAGAGGGGACACAGACGCAGGTGATGAGACATTAAAGTAGAAAATAAATGGGTTTTATTCATGTTTTATTCAAGAGAGGCTGGAATAAAATCAAGAGTAAATATTGTATCAAAACAATTAGCAACCTTACAATTCAACTTGAGGAACAGAATCAATGTGATGGTTTTTAAAGCTGGTAAACGTCCTGGTTTGCCTTCTACTCTAACGCTGCTTTGCTTTCTACTTTGTCTGGACATGTTAGAGCAGCAGACGTTCCTGCAAGAACATTTCAGATTAACACATTAGAACCATGAAAAAGACAACTGAAATGATGCAATGTTCTCCTCATACACCATCAAAGAGAGATGCTCAGTTGCCATTTGGAAAAAGAATTAATTCAACCAGTAAATCAGAGGTTCTCACACAAAAGTGTTTGATAAAAAGCTGTTAAAGATCACATCTTCAAGGCGGAATGAATAATCTAATCTCTAATCATCTGAAACAACAGCTGGCAGTGATTTACTCACACAGACCAGGTCTAACTTCTGTGGTAATTAGCCACAGGGGTACTTTTCTACATATCAACCAAAGTTCTTATTGAAACTCAAAGAGCTTATTAAAAAAAAAAAAGTTTTTATTTTGGATGACTTCATGATAGAACCTGCTGTGTTTGAGCTGTTCAGTGTCATTCTATTCTTCAAAATCCTCCATAGAATCTACTTTAGAACGAAGGAATCTGGTAAAACTGGAATCTTCAGTTACATTGGCCAAATACACAAGCTCTCCTACTGGTTTACGATTCAATACAGGCTCTGTGTTTTGCAGGTGCGGATAGTGACGTGTATTTGCAGTGCTCCAGACTGGCAGAGAGGATGTACTCTCACATTGCTGCCACACCTGAAAGCTTCACTGCATTCCCAGCCTTTATTGTGGCTCAATACGTCACAGAGCTGCAGAAGGTATGACCTCAACCACCAGTGTCTGTCTCATTTGGCTTTAAGTAGTATTTACCTCCCATAAAGTTTTTCGATTTAGTAGGAGTGCAACGTAGCACTAACATCTATATATGAGGTCATAATGCAGTGCAAGGCCAGCATTATCTAATGTTTAGCCATTTTCTGCAGAAGTTAGTGTGACAAACACAGGTTTTAATACGGCAATATTTTGGCTGGTCATCGGAACAACCAAAGGCACAAATAACAGAGAAGGGAAAATTTCCCAGCAGCCAAACTAGATGTTGACAAAAGTCATTGAGGAGGATTACTGTAACTTGGTGTGCAAAAGTGAAGCTTAAAAAGACTGGATGTTCCCTCCATCCAGTCAGTCATGTCTGGGTTCAGAGTGCAGCTCCCGTCTGCAGCCAGGCTGCTTTTAAAAGGACCCCTGAATCAGCATTTTTCAGACCAGAAAAGCAGACATGATGTTTTATAAAGGGTTTCTCTTGCAAGAAAGAAAGCTGGGTTGTTCCAAGAGGTGAAATAAATAATTAGTGGTAATGTTTCAGGCGGTAATATAATGATCTGTTTTCAAATCAAATCCAGGTGTAGCATTCAGAAGTCATTAGTCGAGTGCAGGCTAACTGGTCTTAAACGTAGCTTTTATTTCAAGCAACTTGATTTAATCTCAACACAAACGTGCAATAAAATAATAATTTAATGTATTTTTGTTTAGAAATATCTAAAAATCCTCCACAATAAAGTTTAAATTATTTTGTTATCGAAACTCTAATTCAGCCTTGCAGTGAATCCTCAATATAGAACCTGGAGACTATATATATATATATATATATAATGAACAGAGTATGGTTTAGAGAAAATAATTGTGAGTTATAAAGTTAGATTATACACATTGATTAGAGTCTTAACGTTTTATATACTTTACATAAAAGGTCAAAAGGTGAATCAATTAATGAATGAAAAAAAATTATTTCAGACAATAAATAATAAAAATTATAAATAAATAGTAAATCGATTTCAGAAAATATTTGAAACACAACCTTGTACCACATAAAAACGTGATTGGTTACAGGTTGAACATTAAAATGAATAAAATTTTCAGTTCCAAATCAATATAATTAATTCGAACATAGACAGAAGCTAATAAAATAAACTCAATGTGCCACTTAAAAAACTTGCCACTATATGTGGCCTGAGTTCTGACCATGGTTATTGATTCGTTTATGATTATTGATTATTAATTGTCTGAAAAGGGGTATGAAGAAGTAAAACTTATTTCACGTACCCCTTATCCCTCAAATTGCATTTAAAGTAACTTAAGTAGTCTTACTGTTTAACTTCTCTGTTTTGGATCCAAAATTCACAAAAAAATATACCAAATTGAAATTGTATGCATATATACATTTACATACATGCGTGTAAAAGGTGTAAATGGTTTTACTCTCAATCTAAAACCTAAGAAACTATAAAGTTGATGAGAAATAATGTTTTGAAAGGGGAACACAGCTGTTTTTGGTGTGTGTGAAACGATTCTTATCTCCCTCATTACTTTTCCACTGGTCATGTGCTGCACTACCTACTGTTTAGAGGACACTGTACCAGCATCAGCATTATGTGTAATTAGCTACTCTTAAGACGGGCGTACACTGCGATTTTTCTTTTTTTTCTTTCAATCGTTGCACGCAGCTGCTGCTCACACTGTATGACTAATCGCAGGGTTTAGTCGTACCGTGTGAGTTCCCAGCTCCCGATTTATGTTCGGCCCATGGGATCTACCTGCTCACACTGTACGACTAAAAACCACGTCGGACTCAGCTCCGTGAGATGGAGCTGCTCTGTAGCTCCCTATCCTGAAGCCAAACAAATAGAAGGGGAATATTATGCTCAATATAGTGAACCGCGCTGCCTTGTCAATTTGTGCAATTTTGTGCTGAAAGTCCAAGAAAGAAAGGCAACGATGTGTTTGAAAAAAGGACGTGGCTGAGCAGGCGTGGCTGCTGCGGTCTGTCAATTTTGCAGCCGGAGCTGCATTTCACTCATTGCATCCCTGCCACGCTGCTGTGTTTACATCTTAGAGGAAGAATAAAAGAAGAATCCTGTTTTGAGCATGCGCCCTGAGCCACATGTTTGATATTCTCCCGACCTCCCGATTCCTGATCAGAAGTTGGTCGTGGGATGCTGATCG